TCACACACACACACACACACAATACCTCCGCTGCCTTCTCGGCTTCACTCTGCAACAACTTCTGAGATCTCCCCACTCAAACTCCCTCATCTATCGGAGAGAATGCCCACTTCTTAGAAAAGGTGAGCGCTTCACGAAATGGAGTGCCCGGCCCACATCGAAATTTCAAAGTCTGTAGCGGGCACTAAACAACACCAAGTGGTTTGAGGACGGTTAAGACTCTAGACTTTGAGTAAAGATATTTCACCAGGTGTTGGGAGGCAGAGCGAAGGATGGAGAATAGGGGGGTTACAAAACATACCCAATTTTGAAAAACAGAGTATTTGTTAGAGACCCCTCCCCCCAAAAATCCTATCGACCCAACATTTTAAAATACGAATATTTTGCATTTATATGCTTGATTTAAGTTAAACCCCAACTAGTAATTAAAGAAAAAGTGTTAGGTAGTTCATGAAAACACTTCTCAACTGAAACCTGAAGTTAGTGCTTATGTGTGAATATGAATCAAGATATATTTAAATTTAAGATCATATTGTGCATGCCCAGTTTCTTTTCTCCTAGTTGTAGTAAGTAGTTCATTGTATCTATTGTTTCATTCCCTAGAATTGCAATCCTCATGAGCCTTTTACAAATGCGATTGGTTTGGTAGAAGTAAATACATTCAGGGTTGCATTGAATTGGTATTTTCTTCCGAAGCAGTAGGCTAGCACTGATTATAAGAAACACCTCACTTATTTGAAACAACAAATTGCTTTATAGCAAAAAACAAAATACAAATGGCTTTATAGCAAAAAAGCAAAATACAGCACGGTAAGTAGTCGACCTGGAAGTAATTATGGGTATAAATCTTGAGTATAAATAAGTATAATTTTGAATTTTTAAAAACTTAATGTTTTGATTCAAACAAACACCAGAGTTACTTTGAAAGCATAAACCTTTCAGAAAACAGCCTTTAAATAAACAAACACCCAAAATCAACTGGAACTAAAGCATAGTCTAGAATTCCTTGTATCCAGTAAGGTTAACGGAAATCAGGACATGTACAGGTCTAAAAAAGACACATCACACCTATATTATTTTATTTTTCATTTCTTATACTGAATGAAAACAGTTTATCAGAAACGGCCCTCCTATTCAAATTCTAGATGTGGCTTAACTATCTGAAGTTACACTTTAGTGACCTTGCATTTAAGTATTTTAAAACTTAAAATCATCTTTCTGTTCGCTTGAAGCTACAGGAACTTTCAGCCCATCCTGTTAGGAACGGTTTCTGCCACCCGTCCTTTGGATGGTTAGAAAGACCTGGCCGCGGGACCCGCAGCTCTCGCTCTGCACCTTCCAACGTGAGACAGGCACAAAGAAGGAAGAGTCGCCCATCACCCCGAAAGACACAAAACAACTTCTCCGCGAAAAACGTGTTTTAAAACAATACCCTCCCCCGCCCCCACCTTCAAATCAATCACACACTTGAGAAGACCAATTATTTGGTGGCTGCTTTTTACATTAAGCCGTTTAATGTGTTTAAGTCAGGTTTTTTTTTTTTTTAAATCTTACTGATAGTTAATGTATTTTGCTTTTTTAAACATGAGCAATGGAGGCGCCACCCTCCTTCCCTGGTTCCTCCGGAGAGCCGCCTTGAGCCTTCTTACTCCTGCCCACCGGCAAAGGGCTAATCCTCGGAGGAGCAGCGTCGCGGTTCCCCGGAGCCTTGAGTTAGGACTAGGGCCTCGTGTTCCTCCTGGCTCCGGATCAGGCCCCCCAGGCCTGCTTCGAAGCCCAGCACGTTGGCACCCGAATCCAATCTCTTCGCTCTGCGTTTGAAAGCTGGCTTGTTCTGCCTTCAGTGGTGGCCGGAGGGAAGCGGGTGCTTCCCTCGGGTTCTCCTAGCAGCGAAAGGAGCAAAGGGCGCCTGCCAGTATCGCGCCGGGTTGGCTCCGCTCCTATTTAGTGGAGATCGGATTCCCCTTCGCGCCTTCTCCTAATGAAGGAAGCATGAATTCTTCCCTGAACGCTTTCTCTTCCCCACCCCTCCCGTCCTCCGTAAGCGAGCAGCTTCCTAAACCCTTAATGCCAATGGACAGCGAGCTTGACGGATATTCTGGAGGATTTATCTCATTCTGGACGATTTATCTCTTCAACGCAGAGCCCTGGGGATGCCGACAAGCCTTTTGAGTTGTAGAAAATTTCGAACTTCCAGGAACTCTCACTCTTTACCGGGCGGAGGTTATTTTTAATCTATCCATTGTCATATTCAGTAGATTCCATTTTAATGACTGCGAACTTCCGTCTGTTCTCCTTTCAGCTGTGCTTTTGAAGATTCTCCTCGCACACATAAGTGCCCGCGCTTCAACTTGTTGCCAGATTGTTGGGGGACCTCCTGCTTCCCCTGTGCACACTTTAGCATCGACTCAGTTATACTCTGTGAGGTGAGCGCCTTGGGTTTCGCTACACAAATACTCCGCTGCATGAACACCCAGAGGAAACCCCCTTAGCCAAACTGAGCTGATGGAGAGGAGTGGGAACTGCCGCGGTAGGCTGGCAGGCAGAGGACGAGCTGTGGATGGAGGTCTCTCCATATTTGTACCCCCACCCCGCAATGGGTGGGTGGGTAGATGAAGGGGTGTAGATCACGGAGTTTCAGGGGAACTAATCCCGCTAACTTTTTTGTTCCTCCCCTCCCCCCCCCCCC